AGAGAGAGAAACTATATCATATTGTAGAGAGTGAAAGACCTAAAATTGTTTAAAAAGATAAACTATCTTAACTTGTTTAAAGAGAGAAACTATCTCAAATTTTTACAGAGAGAAATCATCTCAAAATTTTAGAAAGATGAACAATATCAAATTTTAGAGAGTACATAAAATTTGTGGAGATAGATTATCTCAAAAATTTTAGAGAGAGAAACTATTTCAAAATTTAAGTTCTTGAAAGGTGTATCAAGATTTTAGATAAAAATTTAAAGAGAGAAACTATTTCAAAATTTATAGAGAGAGAGAGAGAGAGTTTGCATTTCCAATATAAAGATGGAAAAAGTTTATATGAGGATGCAACCTTATAATGTAGAACTACATATGTACCTAAAAAATCCATCGAAAAAGGTAGTTTTAATGTTGAAAAACCCTTTGAATGATCATCTCAACATCGACATGTGTGACCATGAAAAATAAAAAGATTTTAAGTCTCATAAATAATACATTTTACAACATATTATCTACACCATCCATTTTCAAGATTTTCATATGTTTATAGATTTACTTGATTTTAACCATTTTTTAAATTTAAAATTTTATAATTAGATATAAAAATAGATTTTGATATAACCCTAAAACCATTTTATATTAAAATTATATACCATGATAAAATTTGAACGTGCACCTTACCTCTACAGCTACAGATGCATCTGTATGCCAACTGCACCCTAAAATGATATTCCAGTCAATCCAAATAGGGAATTTACATTTTTTTGGATTTCTATCAGATGCGATCTAAGTAGGGAAATGACATTTCCAAGAGATCTCAATTCCATGATTGAGTTTTCTCAAGATTGAAAAATCTTGGGATCCAAACGGGCCCACAGGGAATTTGCATTCCTTGATTTCTACTTGACGCGATCCAAACAAAATACACCATATTCCAAGGAATATCAATTCCGGTTAATCTCAATTCCATAATTGACTTTTCTCAAGATTGAAAAATCCAAGGATCCAACGAACCCCTAACATAAACATTCGCTAATGGACGTGCGATGCCCTGATTGCATGGTGTCCCATTTACGGAGCTTGCCAGACAATGGACTCAAGCAGTGGTTTAAAAAACGGATCAGTGCCCCAGATCGGGCACTCTAAAATCCCATTCGGATCGGTGAATCAACGATCCGGATCGAGAATCGGTCGGATTAAACTTTAAAAAAATTTCAAAAAAATTATTAAAATTCATTATAAATGTTCTCTTTTAAAAATCCAATATGAAATGAGGGTACTACATTATTAACTTTCATTTTTTTCATCAATTTGTGAATATTGAGATACTCTTTCCCTGTATAAACTTATGTTAACCATTAAATTTATATAACATAAAAGAAAAATCATATAATTATATTGGATAAAATATGTAATTATACATGGACTATAATAAAGAGTAGACTAAATCAATGAAAGAATGGCCATTAAAATCTCGTTTTGGCGAAAAACCTTAATCTGCTAAAAAAACCCAAATTATTACAACCTAACTAATTATAATCCAAAATTATTACAACCTAACTAATTATAATATTATATACTAAAATTATAATTATTAGTTTACATTTTATAATTATTTTATTATACAAATAATAACAAATTCAAAATATTTTATAATATTATCTAATTTAAAATGTATTATTGACAACTGTAAGAAAAATAGTACATTACATGATTTATAATATAAAAATTAATAAATAAAATAAAATATTTGGTTATCAATGTAAAAATGAATAAAATACGTACAGATTTTTGAAATAACCCTTTAATTTTTCAAAAATTTAATTTTTTAGGTTTCTAGAATAAATTTAGTGAAAGATATTGTTAGTAGAAAGAGAGAGATTTCAAATAGAATAAAATTTTTATTTTTATTTTTTTATGCCTTTTATATTATTTACAATAAAAATAATTATACCGTTAGATACAACAAAAATTAACCGCTATACAATAAAAATTAATATAATATGTAACACCCAACAAAATTAATCGCTATACAACGCCCAAGGGGATTTGACCTTGGGAGGTCAAGGAAAAGAGTAGAGGACATAACCATCACACCTCTTCACCGCATATGATGATATGTTGCCTATGAATAGAATATATTTAAATTCCGTCCTCATTTAATGATGTTTGGGAATTATTCCACATCGAAAGATAGGTATTCAACTTTGTTATGTAAATAATTATGTAATATGATGTGAAGCACATGCACGAATCACTGAGGCAACCCTACGTGTGATGTGCTATGTGATTTTGTCGCCGCACGTGATACTGTATGTGCATGTGATGTCTTCCGTGTAAAATAGGATGCTAGAACCGGCACAAGGTCGCCGATTCTCGAGTGTGTGTGCATGTGATGTCTTCCGTGTAGAATCGGATGCTAAAACCGACACGGGATTGTCGATTCCCAAGTCGAACTCGAACGAGTCCGGTTCGACTCGCCCCGACTTTTCAAACGCTGGACTCAATTAATGGCAAAGATAATAGGTTACCGCAAGATCAGAGTGTTTATTTGCTCCCTCGGGCGGGCTGTGGCGTCGGAGTATTGCCGTGATACCAAAATTTGCGATGCCAATTAAGTGACTAGCCTAAACCGTACCTAAGAGTTGTCATTTGATTCCGTCCGGTTCGCATACCAGATTTAGGTTTGGTCTAGCTCTATAACTTTAAATATATTGTTTATGTTTTATAGTATAAAATTGATATTATTTATATATCTTATACAAATATATACCAGGTCGGCTCAGTTCGGGTTGACCCAACTGCTCGACCTGATCCAATATGATCCTGACCCAAGTTGTGTCAAGGTCAAATGGGTCAAACTCCGATCTCGTCAGGTCGACCCAACAACCTAGTCCTCACACCCACTGTACTATTTGAAAAATCCATACCTTATGATTGCCACAAATTGGACAGTCAGATCTAGATATCTTAGTACTAAAAATCGAACTTTTTTTCCTGGACGGTACTCTTCTGGTTTTAAATGTTTCTACCCATTTTTCCAGAGTAATTGGGCAATTATACATCGGTGGTTAAGGGGGGAGATGCCTTAACATAACGTCACACCCTCCATTTTCAATGTTAAAATATGAAAAATTAATAGTAATAAAAAATCACCCATGAACTCCATTGTGCTTTCAATGGCGATCACAGGAGGCTGACACAATAGGCTACACACTCTCTCCCTGAGCCAAACGTGCTACACATTCTCTCTCTCTAGGCTGCTATCTACCCCCCTCTCTCTCTCTAGCTTAAGATAAGACTATGCTTACTCTGGGTATGAGATAGGACACACTAATGGGCGTTAGGTCTGGTGATTGCCAAATGATGTCTACTATTTTTCTTGGATTATTATGGGTTATGACGACTTCTATAGAGAGAGAGAATTTCCATGAGAGGAGTATGACCTCCGAGAAAAAGAGGGTACTCCTGGGGTTTTCAGTAAGTTCACTTTCACTTGTAGATAAAAGTATCTTGGTGGCGGTCTAGCAATGTGAAAAATGAAGTGGATTTAACAGTGATGTTCAGTTGGGAGTACGTGTTTAGAAGGGAAGATCACCGAAGATTTTGCTGCTGTTCAAAGAATGATATTCCGATTGTAACTTAAAACTATAATATTCATTGAAACAATATATTTTTACTTATTGAGGTCATGGACATAGCATTTTAGGGAGAATCATGTAAATCATGCGTGTAATTTTTATGTTTGCTTTATTTCTCACAATTTTTTACATCTTATTCACTTATTTCCCTTACCAACTATGCACTTGGTCTTGTGTAGGATCTCACTAATTAAGGTGCCTAGTTCAACTAGAAAGGGGATCCCAAGGAAACGTACGACTGGTTTCAAAACACAAAACAGAAGGTGTGTAATGTGTAGGATCTCACTAATTAAGGTGCCTAGTTCAACTAGGAAGGGGATCCCAAGGAAACGTACGATTGGTTTCAAAACACAAAACAGAAGGTGTGTATAGAGCTATGTTTTATGTTTTGGTTAGAGGAAAACACAACCAATTTAAATGGATATATAATTTGGGGTGGAAAACCATGAAGGCATGGTGTATGTGAAAATTCCACAATGGGAGCTGAAAGGAGAAAACCAAGAAAGCCAACCGATGGAGGGCCGCAAGGCAATTTAAGGTGATTTCACAATCAATGTACGAGATTTAAGATTTTGGGATAGCCAAAATCACCACTCTAATATTTTATTGAAACATTAAAAGTACTTCTATATTTTATCCAAACACTGGTATTATGGTATTTGGATAAAAGGGAAAAAAATGAGTCTTCAAAAGCAAGAGAAAACTCGAGTATATCTATATAAGGGATCCAGGCAGCATCACTCATCCCTTTTTAGGGCCACCCTATTATGACTTATGGGAATGATTGGCTTGAGAGATTAGTAACTCGAGAGTGAAGGATGACTTATTGTAGACAAGCATGACCTCTAAGAAAGGGAAGTAGTATTCCAATAAGTTCGAGTTGGTGCTCTTAAGATTCTCTTTCCTGCAGTGGTGTAGCCTGGTGAAAGACAATTGACCAACCATTTTGTTAGGTTTGGAGAGCAAGTTTATATGGTAAGGTTAGCAGGTTTTTACTGATGCTTAAAGAGAGATTTATTATATAATAGACCTAGTGCTTCAAAGTGAACCATATAAATCATGTGTTTGTAATATGATTCTAATCTTTGCCTATTTTTTTCCAATTTTTGTCATTGTATTAAATTATTTTATATCAAACCAACTATATACATGATGTTGAGTGTTATATCAATAATTAAAATTCCTAATTCCACAATCAAGGGTTCCCTAAGAGACAGTCAAAAGGTTACTAACATGGAAATCTACACAGGGAAAAGAGCAAAGGAAGCATAAAGAAACCATCCAAACTACACTCTTTACAACTCCTCCCTTTACAATTCATCTCTTTCTGAACATGTCTGACTCGATAAGGGATCATTTAAGGTCTCTGTTATTCTCAAACAATATTGAGTAATATAGGACTATGATTTATGATAACACATACTAGTGCTGGAAGTTAATTCTGAAACCTTATGGGCATTAAATCGTCAAAAAATACCAATAGTGAAGGCCATCAAAATACATAGAAACTGAACACTCAAATAATTTCCTCCTACTAAAACGAGTAAAGTTTAACAAGAACTCTAAAAAGGAAGAAGGAAGCAAACAAAACCAAGACCACTTGGGGAAAATCCAACAAGAAAACAGAAGTTGAGAAGAGACGGCCTTATGCCATAGCCTCGGTTTCTGTGACCATAAGAGGTGGCCTTGCGTATTCCTCCTCCTCCTTTGGGGTATGTATAGTGACCAGATCAGGAAGAGGTGTTGTTGGACCTTGTTTGCCCTTTGGATCCCAATCCAGCATGATCTTCACCTTGATTCCAAGAACACCCTGGTACAAAAGAAAAACAACAAATAATGCTTATAGGTAATAACCTCCTTCCGTCTCTCCCTCTCTCTCAAACACACCCAATCACCCACCCAGAAAAAACAAAAATAGATATCATGAGTAAATCTGAACAGGGTTTATACACAGTACCACACACACATACAGGAAAACATGACATATCATGGGTGTATCTAAACATGTTAATTATTTGTTATCGTCGCATCAGACTAGCTGTATTTTTCTTTTTCTATTTAAATAAAATCTCATTTTCCGCAAAGAGGAAACAGATTCCTCACCTGTCTTAGCAAGACATGCCTCACAGCTGAGTCAATGTATTCATTAACTGGCTGGCCCGAAGAGATCATGTACCCATCCTTGAACTTCATGGACTTTGCACGCTGTGCCCTGAGTTTCCCACTTACAATAACCTGTAAAGAACCCAATATGTCAGATTTAAATTCTCCTATTAGAAAACCATTGCAATAAGCATATGAAGAGAATGGTTTTTTATATACAGACCTCACATCCTTTAGCACCACTCTCCATGATAAAACGAAGAACACCATAACAAGCCCTGAAAAATGGGAACATTATATTTCCAATCAATCAGTTCACATTCAGAATTTCCAGGAAACAGAAGATGATCAAAAGGATGAATAGGCTCTTGTCTATGCATCATGGCCCATTAAGCAAATCAACTAGCAAGCACTTCACGAAATGATACAAAACAAGTGACTATTCAGGAAGTTGAAAACTCTTGAATTGCTGGATATAATATTAGACCAACAAGAAAGAAGCATGCTAAAAAAGAAGCTTGAGGCACAAATAGCAATGCTACCTTGTTAAACATACATGAAAAACCTGATAAAAAACGATTCGGTCAAATTACTGAAATAACCCTGCATTTTCATGACATGGAGCGTACTGCAGTTGTGGACGGTTTTTTGACAAGAGACAAGACAGACACAGAAGGTAGAGAGAGAGTGGGAAAAGGGGGCGGGGGGGTTAGATGTGTGGACTGAATCTAGCAGACTTTGGGTGACGGAAAAATGGAATGCTGCAATATATTGTCATTAGGATGGGGAAAAATTTAGGTCACACTAAAGCTAGAGAAATCCTAATAGCAGTCTATTATCCGGATTGCGTAACATATAATTTTGGGCTGTTAAACACATTATTTCAAATCTTAATCAATTTAATAACCCAATATTCTGAAATTATTACGGTACTGAGTGCAATCAAACATGGCCTTAGGCCCTCTTATGCTTGATGTTTTTCTTGTTGAAATGGAACCATGAAAATACCTAATTCCATCTAAAATCCCACCACCTCCCATGCTTTAAATGATGTATGGATCTGTAGTGCCATAGAGGCCAATTCTGGGGTTGGATTTTTGACACTCGTTTCCATATCCGATGCCAACACTTGTACCCATGTCTTTGTAATGTAGACTATCAACATATCTAAGAGCAACAAACAACAAAGGAACATGCGAATCTAAGAATAACAAGAACCAAAGGAAGATTTAAGGAAGGATAAATGTGGGCAGCTAAGTGGAGACTGCAATCAATTATCTTGAGATGGTCAGCATACAACAACGTGCACAAACTTTTCTTTTAGAATATGGACACATAGTTGAATAGCTGGGAAACAAAAAGGACAAAAAACTAGCACAAATCGTAATGACACAATATTCCATTTATGTGCTACTGCAGAGGATTTTTTTTAATATGTTAACTGTACAGAGGAGGTAACGAACTGCAGAGGATGTTTGTGGAAAAAGAAAACATTACATGGGATCCATGTGCTTGAAACTACAATTACATAGATTCAATGCTTAAATCTATCAGGAATCTTTCTAAGAACATGAAGTGACAAGGACAAAGTTGTACAATTTTTCTATGCAAATTGATGAGCAATGTATTGGGTTTTATGAGGGAACAAAAATAAGAACAGGAAATTATGCACTCAGATTCTAAAAGATTGCACAGAAAACCCCCGCTTTCGAAGCTTATCAACCTATTTTCTAGTTCAAAAGGACTATATTTTAAGTCAATCTGAAGATGCGTGGTAGCAGGGCATTAAAAGAAAGTTGACGGCAGAAAGCATATGAATGCAGAACATCAGAATTTTCGTTGGGCCTTTTAAGATTGTTGAGGGTTTTGACGAGATTACAAGATTCAGATGAACATACATCAAAGGGCTCTGTACTTCTCTTATGAGACATCTCCAAAGACTATGATTTACCTACCACACATGCATATCACCAACATATGGCAACAAAAGATTCAATCTAGAATCAAAACAGATCCGTCATAAACAAACAAGCATGAAATTCTCACATAAAATTCTATTGAAGAAAACGCAAATCCAAACTGATAGCCTGATACATACCGCCTAACTGCTAGACCTCCGAGGAGCTTATAGCGCAGAGACTCAGCTTGTGCAATAGCACATAGGCCTCTATTGTTCACCTTCTCAGCGTACAATTCCACACTGTTCTCAGGAAAATTAAACCTTTTTTGAACCACAGATGTCAACTCCCTAATCCTTCTACCCTTCTCCCCTGTAAAACCAAAACCTCAAAAACTCAAATGACAGTCCCCGCCTATCAAAAAAAGAATCTAGTAACACTCAGTAATTGATTATACTAGAAAAGAAAATCATGCACTACCCTTATCCCCTGCAAACACAAAGCTTCAAACATCAAATAACACTCCATGCCTACCAAAACAGAATCAAATAACACTTTATAATTGACTGTATAGAAAATGATGCATTTTACCCTGTAACTCAATATAACAGCTTCTATTTCAATAAAGCTGGAATTAAAAACCAAGCCAAAAAAGAAACAGAAGGTAAGAAATTATCACAAGTAAATACAACAATCTAGTGTAAAACCCCAAAACCCTCATCAATCAAACAACACTCCCGGATTAACTATCAATTAAGAAAGATATGTTGTAGTCTATGATGCAACCCACTAAATGTCATCCACATTTTAAATCACCATAAAATACCATACAAGCAAAAATAGAGAGCAAAAGAAGATAAAGCAATCATAGCAATGAAGGAATTGAAAAGAAGAAATCTCACCAAGCACATTCTGGGTCCTGGTTGCCCTAATGATGATCTCAGTGCGCATAGGTGTAACCCTAACTTCCACACCTGAGTACCCATCCTCTGCCAATTCTCTGGTGAGGACTTCATTAAGCTCAGCAAAGAATACGCCATCTGCAACAAACTGCAAGAAAAAAAAACAATTAAACTTCAATTGAAAACCATAGCAACAAATGTTAAAGGGAAAATAAGCAGGTCCAGATAAGAGATTCCCTAATTCAAGTCCAACAAAATTCGTCAAAAATTAAGGAAAAGAGAAATATTAGATAATCCTAGATCACCAATAGAGAAGCAAATCAGGTGCAAATATAGATTTGAAACTATGCACAAAATGGAAGCCATTTTCTCACGAATAAAGTAACAATTCAATGGAGAACACAATACCCTAATTTCAAAATAATGATATGAAGCCCAAAAAACTTAATCTATAAAGAAGGAACTGAAACATCAAAAATCCTAATTTTCAATGAATAAATTGAAATATCACCAACCTTTCGTAATAGTTAACAGAAAAAAAAAAAAAGGAAAACAAAAATGTAAATCAGGATCCAATAAAAATGGTATTTAGGGACCTTTCTCTTCTTGCTTATTTGAGTCACCATGGTGAAGAAGCTTCAGAAGAAGACAAAGGGCTTCTGGGTCTCCAAGCCAAGGTTTCTTTCCTTAAAACCAGAGTCCTCAACAAAACCCTTACACCAAATTTGTGCAGTAACGCTACTGATTTGAAACCCTAAATTATTTTAGCAAGATACCATTTGGTCAGGTCATCGAAACAATGTTGTCGGAGCGTTATCACCGTCCCATCGTTGGCTTCAATGATGATAGATCGACAGTAGGTTATTTCCTGGGAATCAATCTCTAACCATCAATGAAATGATGCGACGTTGATGCCTTCTACTCCCATACTATTCTCCAAGCTATGGGTAGCCGCATACTATTTAAAGGTGATGTTCACATATCATACTATCCATAAAATACATGACAAGTAGGCATAGGCATCCCATCGGCAACCTTATGCTTCAATTATACTGGGGAGGGCAATGGACCCGGATCCGGGATCAGCGTGGGACTCACCAGGTATATACTTGCCACGGGTCCTGGGTCCAGTATTTGCATCTAGCGGGTACGGTATGCATCCATTTTTATGGACCCGGCATAAGTCGGGTAAATTCATTAAACCCAACCCGTATTTATTATATATATATATATATATATATATAAATTTATATGTTGAGCTCGAGGTTTGTAAGTTCTTTGGCTTCACAAGAGGCCTAGAAAAAGCTAGAACTTTGAGGTTTTGAAGGTAGCTGGAGCTCGATGGACACAATGGCCGAAACCGTGTTTTTCCGGCAAAGTGAAGGGGATCCATTTCTATGGCCACCGCCTTGGCCGTTACTTCTTTGGCTTCACAGCTGGCCATGGGAAAGCTCAAACTTTGAGGTTTTGAAGGTAGCCAGAGCTCAATGGACACAATGGCCGGAACTGTGCTTTTGCGAAATTCTCAGCCTACGAAACTTCTTTGAACAATGCCCAATCCTCAATCTTCTCCAAATGAGCCTCGTGAATCTTCCTATCAAGGTTAGCTTAACCCAAATCGATCTCTTAGACCCATTTTCATGGCCACCATTTTGAGACCCAATTGGAGAGAGAGAGCCCACAAATTTTTGGTCTAGGGTTTTAGTTTCACGACCTGAATTTAGCTAGAATTTCTGGTCTAGGGTTTCATAGCCTGAATTTTTGTGAATGGGTCTGGGTCTCGGGTCCATAACCTCATCCGAGTACAAGTTCAGGCACGGGTACCCTGGACCTATAGGGTCCAGGCCTGGGTACGGGTCTCAATCTATTTAGGTCCCGGGTCTAGTCTAGGTCCAAGTCCAGTAGCCCCCGACTTGTTGCCACCCCTAAATTATATTAGGTTGACACCTCGTATAATATTTTGAAAATGTATATAATGAGACCATTTATTTTTGGTAAAGGTGGTCATATTTAATATTGACGGTTGGATGTAAAATTGAATGGTAGCATTCATTTTATGACCATACTCAAACTTCAAAAGAAGTTTTTTTTAACCTTATAACATAACCAAGCTATTAGATTTCACATTTGGATAATTATAAATAATTATGACACTCTTGTACTAAAGGTAAATAACAATATCATAAAATCTCATATAAAAAAGCAAATACAAATATGATTCAAAGATTATAAACTCCTTGAGGTATATGCTCTCTCCTGTAAAATTTATGACTATTTATAAGACATCAACATTTGGGCGATGTCTGTAATATCCAGCTAATCTTAAATAAATAAATAAGAGTAATGATTTTATTGGACTTGTTGGATTTTGATCCAAATCTCGAGATACAATTTAAATGTTACTCGTATCGAAGTTGACGGTGATAGTACTTCTCCTTTATTTTCCTATAAAGATAACTTTTTTTGCTGTTTTTTTCTGTCATCCATGCTCTCTCTTCCCCCTTACTGAACCAGGGAGAAAATCCTCTCTCTCTCACTTCCTCCTGCCCCCTCTTACCTCCAAATTTCTCAGCAACACGAAGCCCCCTCTCTCTGACACCTCTTGCCATCAAATTTCACAACGACAAATAGGTAGTGCATCTCTTCTCTCACATTACAGGTACAATTATTTTTCTCTCTCTCTCTCTTCCCATACCTCCTCCCGGTCCCCAATCCTACACTCACTCCTCCCTGGTTGCTAAACCAACAACAATAAAGAATCACACTCTCCCGGTGTTTTTATGCATCCCATGCCTCCCATTTCTCTCAGTATCTATCTGTAACCCCTCTCTCGTTTTTTTTTTATATATATATATAAAAGTCTTCCGAAGGTCTATAAGCGATAAAGAACAGTATTTTCTTCCGAAGCAATAAGGAACAATATTTTTGCTTTCTTATATCCGCCGTCCTTTCTTTCAAATTAAATGAAATCGTAGGGCTCTTCTTCGCTTTGAAACTCCCTAATGCCATTGGCTGAAAAGTTTCAAACCCCCATAAATTTCAACTATACCCCTTCCTCCGGAGTGCTTTGCGAGCCAGAGAGCTTCACCGAGAAGCTCCCTCTCTCTCATTCGCCATCGTCTCTCCGAGAGACTATAAATGCTCTGCGTCCTTTCTCTCTAAATTTCAGTCGCTCTGCCTCCTCATTCGCTCTAGGAATTTCAGTCATACCCCATCCTCATGCGTGCTCTGCGAACCAGAGAGCTTCACTATGAAGCTCTCTCTCTCTTGCTCGCCACAATTTCTTCACGAGATTACAAATGCTCTGCGTCCTCTCTCTCTACATTTCAGCCGCTCTACCTCCTCATTCTCTCTAGTAAGCTCGTTGTGGCTTTAGACATCTCAAGGAAGCAGCACCCTAAGAAAAATCCAACCCAAGACGACTCAGGATTAGGGCACTTTGGTCTCTTAGGTATTATGGAGGATGGACGGCACCGAACATATATTTCTTGGACTTTGCTAGAGTGGTCAAATTCAGAGACATTCGTATTGGGGGACTCTCTGGGATATATAAGGCATACGATTACTATTCAGGCAAGTAAAATTGTTGCCTTGCTATTTTGGTCTTTCTTGACTGATCATTTTGTAATACTCTGCACCATCTATTATTTTTCTTATAGTAGTAAGGTTAGCTCCTCTTCTGCTCAATTTTGTTCCATCATGTTCGCTGAGAGTTGTTTTGATTATGAGCGGTATGGTGCTTTAATTGGTTTTTGATTTCTTTAAAAATCCATTGGGGTTGTATAGTTGTTTTAGCATGTATTTCCCTTGAAGTAACCTGGTATATTGTCAAATGAGTAGAATATTATGGGGGGACTCCTTATAATAGCAATGACATTCTGTCTATATATCATGTACGTCAATATGATGTTTATTAGCTCATGCAAATTGAGGAGAAAATTGATATATTTATTTCACATGATTGGCCTCTTGGCATCACTGACCACAGGAACTGTAAGGAGCTTATTCGACACTTGAGAGAGAGGTATTATGTACTTACACTTGAGGTATATTCAGTGCCCTGGACATGATTATAAATCTCAAGTTTTGATTTTATTGTGTTTTATTTATTTATTGTTTAAATATTACATATTCAAAATTAGTTGATAATAATATCAACACATTCGTTTTGGTATTGATTTATTTAATATTCATTCACTTGTTCCACGAAGGTTGCTTTATTCTTTCGTTTCATATTTCACATAGGAAAGCAAAAGATTGTGGAGGTGTAAATATTCAACCTGGAATTTTAAATTACTTTCCTACGTTTATGCCTTTAGATTGCATCTCCATTGCAATATGAAAAAACTGTTTTCCACTAAATGGCAAAATGACAATCTGTTGCCTTGCTTGATACATGGGAGAGCCTGGAAATTTCTTGTGTAAAGGATTGTGTGTGTCGAGGCTTTAGGCATCACTAATGAGAAAGAGAAGCAAGAACACAATACAGCTGCTAAACTTTAGGAAAGGAGAATTATGGGTGGAGATGAAGATGGAAAGGAGAATATGAATTAAGGAAGAGAAAGCATGACCTCCTCTGCAGCGGCATTCTTCAATCATTACGTGGCAGAAATAGGGTACCATGAATATATATATCCTCCATTAGAAACAAGTGGAAATTGTGAATCTTTAAAGATATTGTGAAGACCATGCAAGTCAAATTCACTGCACAAGCAAAAATACGTCAAGTACCCCTCAAACTCTGATTCTAGACCAGAGTATGTGCAAACTTACACCAATATTTTCGTGCCATGTTCTCTCAAGCACAAAATCATGACTGCATGAAACAGTGTTAGAATCTTGAGCCTAATTGTGACTCAGAAAAATTGAAGTGTTGAGCCTGACTTCCCTACACTTCTGTAGGACTAGCATTTTTACGAAAGTTAGATTGAACGGCAACCGTAAAATAATGATATAGAATAATGACATGTCCCTATGGATGCTCTTTTCCCTTATTCTGGAGTGAACAGCTGCTGCAGATCTTTAAAGATTTGCTTCCTATATCAACTGTGTTGGATGTGGATGACTTTGAGTAGCTTCTTGGCTTTCCTATTTAAGTGCTGGATCAGCAATGTGCTTTTCAATGGTTATCTTGGTTCCTTGTCTATTCATCTGCTGAGTATCTTATGACCCAAGGAACTCAATTGTATTTCATGACAAGTGTGTCCAATTAATCTTTTCCCAACTTGAATGACACTTGTGGGAATGTTCTTGAGATAATAGCCAATCTCTCAAGATGTATGGGCTTTTATTTCTTGACTCTATGGAAAAATAGTAAAAAATAAGATTTCTACATCTAAAATTCAGCAATTCTTGGAGTATCTCAAAGCCAGTTTTTTTAGGTCTAGAAGAGGCATAATTTCTTGAAAATCTGCTTAGTAGCCATGAAACTAAGATTGAAAAATTTATTGCCAATGGACTTTGGCAGTATCAATACAAAATATATCAAACAGTGGGGTTTTTGGGCAAACAGTATATGCCCTGAATGTAATCATATGTTCTATGTTGGGATCATCTTCCTGTTCTGATTTCTTCACTTATTTATTTATTTTCACTCTTGACCTTCATTCCTCTAGCGGTTAAGGCATGCTGAACCACTGAGGAAGATTTGCTGGCATAAAATGTTCATGTTTAGCTTATGTTCTAACTATTTTCTAAAAGAAATTTCTCTAATGCAGCTCACTCATTTGTATGGTAGATTATTGTGACAATGAACTTTTGATAATGAACTATCAAAGCAAGTACAAAGCTCGTCAACAGTATTTCCACCTATTATTACATTCAAAGTTTTCAATACTTCATGTGGAATTTGACATAATCTATTTTATTATCTTTTTTCTTTTTACAATATAATTCTCTGTTTTCAACTCTTTTGGTATGGATATCTAATGTTTATTTTCTTTCTTATCAAAATATGACAGAATTCTTCCTTCTGTACTAGTGCTGATGGATTTTCTGATGAAATACCATCTGACGCTTCATACTTTCCATTCTCTTAGCTAACACAATGTGAGAATTATTGCAACTTGGGGAATCCCTACATAAGAATATCAATATCTCCCTTGCAATTAAGTCTTTAGGAAGCAAGATTTCTTATACTTTGTTTTGTGGATTTAGACATGTTCTCAGTTAATAATTTCAGATTCGGGAGAAAAGTCTAGGAAGTAAGCCTGCAGCAGAGTTGCTCAAGAAACTGCAATCGGCGTATTGGTTCTCTGGTCATTTGCATTGCAAATTTCTAGCTATTGTCCAACATGGGGAGGATGGTCCCATCACAAAATTTCTTGCGTTGGATAAGTGTCTCCCAGGATGCAAGTATTGCAGGATGCCTTAAAGTACTATAATGCCTTTAAGTAGTCAGAGTATGAAAAATATTATTTGGAAACTATAAGCCACATTTTGATCTTCCATCTATTGTCGACAAATACATGAAGAAGATGCTTTGTCACATGGAGAAGTTCATCACACATTCAATCTCATTCTCAGAGATCAATACAACTTTTGAATACACGCTCAAAGGGACGGCCTTCGCTACATCATTCGAATAGAAGGGTGAAACTTGAAAAAGCAAAACGAAATAAATTACTGAGTCAGCTCATTTGGGTTACCTTTTTGTAAGCTTCATTTGTATATGGTTGTTTCCTATTTCATGAGGTGTTTAACCTCCTTGTATCTTTCTAGTGGTTTGTAAATGATTGTAATTGGTCGTTGTTTAATTAATGGTAATCTTTTGTGAATCAAATTCTTTGGTTTCTAGTATTATTTAGTTTGTCTTTTTTTGTTTTAGACACACAAAATAACAAAGAGAGAGAGAGAGAGAGAGAGAGAGGGAGGGAGATCTGGTTGTCAGCTACAATGAAACAACATAAGCTCATTTATTTAGTTGCAACGAGAGAGAGAGAGATCATTCAAATCCGAGGCCTGTGAGAGGGAGCAGGTTATCCATAAAAGGTGCAAATGTATCAAATGCTCAACATAAAAAATAAAATAAAGTAAGAACTGTGGGTATATAAATGCATTTCACTATCCAAGTAAACCCACATTGCACACGTGAATGACATACATGGAAAAGAAAGGCATGTTACACATATGTTACCAAAAAGTCATCAAATGGGGTTCTTTATATGTCCCATAAAGAGGACTTTTACATTTGCTCATAAAGAGGTCCTTTATATGCCTGCAAAATTATATGAATATTGAATATTCACATAATCCCCAAAGTCAACTACAAAAAGGGGTATTTACATGTCTCCAAAATTCAAAAAATTAGTAAAGTCCTTTACATGCCTCATAAATAAGTCTTTTACATGCCCACAAAATTCATTGAATATTCATATAACCCCCAAAGTCAACGGCCAAAAATGGGTTTTTACATGTCTTTAAATATGCAAATGAATCCCTGTAAGTTGCCATATCCTCAATGCGAATGCAGTCTCGCAATTTGTCATGTCCTCCGTGCAATTGCAGCCCTTTCATTTGTCATGGCCTCAACTCGGTTTGAGGTCCTTAGTAGCTCTATAAGAGAAAGATGTATTGTAAGTCTAATATGTAAAACAGAAGATAAATGAAAACTAAAGTTAAGTAGAAACAATTATGCTTATTATGTGTAATACATAAAGCAAAGAAGCACTTACATCCCACAGGCCCTCACCTGACAGTTACGTCTGTCATGTCCACTCTTACTGTAAACTTTACAATTCCTTCCAACGGGTGGCGTTTCCTCTGACTGTTTTTTTGTGTAGAAGCTTTTGGCCCTTCCTTCCATGAAGGTTTAATCCTTTTAGTCCTTGGTTGTCCAACTGCTCGTGCACATGGTGGATCAAGTAGAAAGGGGGAGGCATCAATTGATCTAATACTGCCACATACTTCATCTTCTGCGGCACTGCAATGAGTGGAGGCTAATGGTACATGAGTATTTGACAAAGACTCTCTTGTTGTATTGACCTCCTTAACTAACTTGGAGAAACCCAACTTCACTTTTTCAAATAGATCATCATTTTTTAATACTAGCTCTACAATTGTTCTCACAAGGTCATAAAGCTCATGATGTCGAATGAAACTCGAAAATTTAGATATAGTCAAACTACTAGCACCACATTTGTCTTTGATACCCTTCTTTGCATCCATTGTCCACCGGCTCAAAATGTAATTAGATGGGATCTTCAATACATTCCTCATGTTGAACACTTTGGGCATATGTGAACAAGGGATTTCAACACGCTCAGAAAATTGACATGTGCATATACACTTCTTCCCTGATTCAATGAATGTAACCATCCTAGGGATTGGCACACCGCAAATGTCTTTCACCTTATGTTTGGCAAATTCATCATTGCCTTCTATTAATTTGCTAAGGCAATTTGAGGACCTTACCACCTCTTTTTAGAATTTTCTAAATACTTTCTGAGTGTATATTTTTGCTGCATGTTCCTCGATAAGGAAGGTTGTCTTTAGAACAGGTGTGAATGTAAGATCTTTATTGTCTTTCTCTTGTTCTTTGATGAAGTTCTTATTTTGCAACTTTTCAATAGCATTCATGAATTTTTGCAAACTTGTACCAAAAGTTAAATACATCTTTAAATGACAATTGAACCCTTCACTTTGTTGTGTGGTTTTCATGCCAGTTGTGAACCTATCAGCTATGTATCCATCAACCCATTGAGTGCGACAACCATAAAACCACTTGAGCCAGCTTTCCTCTTGAAGATCATATTTTTGAATCATAGCCAACCAATCAGCCTCAAACTGCTCAACTGTGTAAGCTGCAATACACTTTTTTAATACCTCTAAGAATAATAGGTGCGTACGCTTAACATGGCTAAGATGTGTTTTAAACTTTCCTATGATGTGCCACTTGCAATAGTGATGATTAGTATTTGGGAAAACTATCTTAACTGCAGCTGTTATAGCTAAAGCCTGATCAGTGATAATTGTATCTGGTTGACGGCCTCCCATTGCGTCTAGCCAATTCTCAAATAACCAAATGAAGGTTTCTATAGTCTTATTGAAGATGAGAGCACATACGAGGAAAATTGTGTTAGCGTGATGATTAACTCCAAGGATTGGGCCAAAGGGCACACTGTATTCATTTGTTTAGTATGTGGTGTTAAAGGTTACCTCGTCATTAAAAAATTGGTATAACAATATACACTTTGAAACAACCTATAAAACACCAAATAACCTCCCCATCTCATCAAGTTGAACTCTATAAAAGAAGTTAGGGTCCAATTCTTTCTTCGTATGCAACTAGTTCATTACAACATTACCCTCTATTCCTTCAGTGGTTTTCTCTTTTTAGTTAGGTGATTCTCAATGTCTTTCTCAATGAAAGGGACATTTTCTGCCCCACCAGCCTCTTCAATAAGGTAATCCATTGTAACCTAGACTTAGCCATAGACGACTCCAATGTGTCAATCACCTTTTTCAATGTGTTTGGTATCTTTCAATGAGAGCGAATGAATCAAGTCTTGTTGGGCGTTGTGAGAATATGATTATGTTCTTTTATAAACTTCGCAATAACACATCTCTACTTCTCATTCATCTTAATGCGGATCAATGCGGATCTTTGCCTAACATCCACATTTTGTGTGGGGCTTAGCACTTTCACTCCCACCATACATCTCACTATGAAAACCTTGCCTACAACATTCTATAATCTGACCAATTTTTTCACCATGTTTCCGTATGGTCGTTCCCTTTCTTATAACAAACCGTACAAATTTTACGTACTTATTATAATAATCATAAGCTTCATCTTCGTCAGTAAATGCCATCCCCATTGCCAGTTCGATACGTGCACCTCTTGCTAGGGCTGCCTCTGCATCTATAAGTATAGGATCTCCTTCTCCATCTATTGCAACTATATCATTATCATATGGAAAATCATAAAAAGCTTGAGCACCACACTTGTGCCCATTTTCTAAACTAGTAATGTCAACAGGAGAGGAAGGAGATGCTGATGTTGAGGCGTCCATGACACATGTATAATATATTTGTTTCGTTTATATGGTCAACAATAAGAAGCAAGTAGGAGAACATATAACTATGACAGAAGAATCATACTTCAAAAAAAAAAAATCCTTCATGGATTCTATAAATAAAAAATGTCAAATACAAATACTCCAAAAAATAAAAAGCATAAACAAGAACCATTGTTCATTCTCAAAACCATAGTTGTCCATTTTGTTATGTGATTTTGTCATAATTTTTTATTTACATATTTATTCATTGATTTACAAAAAACCATATATGAACTCAAATTTTAGCAGGGATTTCTTTTGTTTTACTCATAAAATAAAATTTCGAACTCAAAGCTATGATTTTTATGGTGAATTATAGACTATAAATCAAGCATTAACAACATAGAAATTCAAATATTCGGGGGAAAATAGGTAATAGAAAATAAGTGATATGGGAATCCTTTTTTTGGTTATTATAATCTTTGTCTATTTTGGTATGTGATTTTGTCATAGTTTTTTATTTACAAATTTATTTATTGATTAAAAATAAAAAATAAAAAACCATATATGCTGAGGAAAAAATGAACTAAAATTTCAGCAGGAAACTTTAAGGCTTTACTCAGAAAACTAACTTTCCAAATCAAAGTTAGCATTTTTCTGGTGATTTACATACTATAAATTGAAGAAATTGTTCGTGCGTGAGGGATTTTAAACCATTTTTCTATGGTCATTAACTCTATTGTTTACATAAAATGCTTGCACACAATACACACATGTAATCCCCAATTCTGCCTGATAAATGTTTTTTAAAATGCAGATTACTCGAGGCCCAACTACCGAATCAGTGCCAATATTAGTGTCCTTAGATGAAGTACCCCATCCTTTTGGGGCCTGTAGTGCAATCAAACAATTGTCATGCTTTCCTGTGCTAAATCCAAAAAAAAAAAACCATATATGAACTCAAATTTCAGCAAGAGGGAAAAATGAACTGAAATTTTAGCATGAATTTTTATGGTTTTACTTAGAGAACTAAATTTCTAAATCAAAGTTAGGATTTTTCTAGTGATTTACAAACTATAAATAGAAAAAATTGTTTGTTACTCACCGATTTCAATGCCCTAATCATGAGTCGTATTGGGTTGGGTTTTTCTCAGCGTACTGCTTCCTTGAGATGCCAACAACCACGACAAGCTTACTAGAGTGAATGAGGAGGTAAAGCAGCAGAAATTTAGAGAGAGATGATGCAGAGCATTTGTAACCGCTCGGAGAAACGATGGTGAGCAAGAGAGAGGGAGCTTCTCAATGAAGTTCTCTGGTTTGCAGAGCACGCAGGAGGAGGGGGTATGGTTGAAATTCTTAGAGCAAATGAGGAGGGAGAGCTGGTGAAATTTCGAGAGAGAGGACGCAGAGAAGTTGTAGCTGCTAGGAGAGATGATAGCGAGCGAGAGAGAGGGAGCTTCTCAGTGAAGCTCTCTAGTTCACAGAGCACGCAGGAGGAAGGGGTATGGTTGAAATTTATTGGGGTTTGAAGCTTTTCAGGCAATGACGCGAGGGATTTTTAAAGCGAATCAAAGCCGTAGGATTTCATTTAATTTGAAAGGACAGTGGATATAAGGAGGTGAAAATACTGTTCATTCGAAAGACTTTTATATATATATATATATATTTTTATTATTGCCACTTTTATGTGATCATTAAAAGATTTATGAGAGTTTGTATAAGCATTTTATATAGTGAAACATAAACTCAGTGGGAGTGTGGTCCTTGTGTGAACCATACCAAGTAAATGTTATTTGTCGAGACTCGAATACGGCTCAACGTGCTAGGCCAACCGAGTTATGAAAAACCCAAGGTAACTAGGCATAAAGTTACAATCGAGATTGATTTAGTGGGTTGCCCTTAATGAGGTTAAAGTATGCCCGAATGAGAGCCGAGGGATTGTGTCACCCTTGTGAGTGATGGATTGCCTATAGAGACAAGGGTTAAATCTCATCGTTGTATCATTACACGACATGTACATAGATAGCTGTATTGAGATAAAATTCCACCATTGAGGGTGGAGCGTGTACATGTGTGAGAGATTACCCCTATTTGTCACAGTGTCGTGGTTGCAACATGGTGTAGCGGATCATGATTTTGTCTTTGGGGGAGTACCTAAAATCCACATATTGGAATTACGTTCCATAGCCCATTGATTGACTTTGGTGGTCCAATCATGAGCCTCCGTGGTGTACTTTGGGTCATGGAAATCGCTGAGTCAGTTTAGAAAAGCTAGTGTGGATCGTGGTCCACGATTGAAGGTGGAATGCTCTTGTGTATTAATAAAATTTTAAATCTATAAGGATCCGATTCCCATCAAAATTAATTTAATTTAATTTATTTTATGTTATTTAATTTTTAGAATATTTATTTTAATTTTTGTGAATCTTCTAATATTTTAATTTTATCATTTGGATTTATAAATAGAGAGAAATTCATTTTCTAAAGTTTTAAATAAATTAAAAAATTTGGCAAATCTAAAAATCAAAATTTATTATTTCTAAAAATATGTGGGATCTACCATTACACATGGGGCGCATTGAATATTTTTGTGGGACTGGGTGGGGACCATGAGCGGCTACAATGGGTGGCACACCCCGTCCATGAGGAGGTGACCTGTTACTAAATATTGTAAGGGGATCTCCATATTCGTTGGCTTTCCTAAATTAGGTGCGAAGCCTCTTGCATATGGAATGAAATAAATAGTTTTAGAATGTCTTGTGAATCAAGAAGGCTTGATTAAAGAATAAGTAATGAATATTTATTATAAGAGAAAGTAAAGTGATATTTTTTGTATTTAATTATTATGATGGGAATATGTTTAGGAAATAGAGGATAAAGTTCTTGTACTTTTTTTAGAATCATGATGGTGGATCTAAGAAATTGATGACTCACATCTCTCACCCCACAAGTCTCCAAGATCGACAATCAGGATTTGATCTTATGAATTATGGCAAACCCTAAAGCATAAAACATCTATAAAAGGAGGCTCTCCTACCTCATAAATTTCTACACAACTATTATCTCTTCTCTCTCTAAGGGTTTTCTATCTCTCTCCAATATCTCTCTAACAGGCACGCCCCAACCTAGTTACAGAGAAGGGGGGCACACCCCAACCTAGAGCTCCCTCTTCAAGTTTCCATAGGGGTAAGTCCAAGTCATCTCTCTCTGTTGCAAGTTCTAGGTGGCACACCAAGCTAGGCTAGGCTTGTAGTTGTTTGATTTTGATAGTAGGCATCAAATGGGAGCATCCTCTAGCTAGTAGATATCTTCCTCTTTCTTTGATTTCTATCTCTCATCTATATAAAGATTAAGCCAAGGGGTTTGAGCAAAACTAAAGTATTGAAGCCTTAGGTAATTGATCCTAGATCGAGATCCATATGCCTTTGATAGGGTTTTTCTATAAGTAGAATAATCAAAAGACTGATCATAGATCTCGAGTACCATAGGAAAGAGGAGACTCGGTATGGGGTGTACTAAGCCCGGTTGAGGTAATCTCCGGCAATTTTACTTCTTTAAATTTTATTTTGTGTTGAGCTCTTCTATTTCCATAAAGCAATGAGTTAAGATTTTGATTTAAGGAGTTATATTCAATAGCAGTAACAAGTGAAGAACCGTGTTTATTTGTTTCAAGAGTTGTTTATTTGTAATTGAACATTGTGATTGGTCTTATTGGTGTAAGAACAATAACTATAAGAAATTGTTTTAATTTATATGTACCGTATTTGATCACATAGTCCAACTTTCACTCTCCCACTGGCTTTTGAACCAACAACAAAAATATCCCCCCGCCCCCTCTCTCTCTCGAGTGCGTGGCTGCTGAACCAGCAAAAAAACCCTTTCTTCCTCTAAAAAATAATGCACGCACTCTCTCTCACTCACTCTCTGTCTCAAAAAGTCCACATGCTCTACAAATTTTATTTTAGCTAATTTCTTATTAGTAATTTGGTTTTTGTTGATTATTACTGGGGAAAGAAATGCAATTTTGTTTTCTTGAAGTCAAGTCATGTGTTTTGCAACTCACCTATGTTCGAGGTGGTGCTAAACAAATGGCCTGATTCATGGATTACTTAAGGGTTTTATTTATCATTCCATTTTTTTTTATTTTTGAAGTATGCTTACTTTGTTCTTAGTTGATATATATGAAAATTTGGTTATTATTGGATAATTTAGTTAGAGTAACATGGAATTGTGTCGACAAGTGGGTACTTTGTGTTGAATTAGGTTTTTTTGTGGCAAATTAGCCGATCAGGTAAAAGGATAACTTCTTAGGAAAGAAATGTGTTGCTAGGTTGAAAAACAAGAGCCTATATTCCAATTTTTTTTATTTAAGGCTCAATGTTAGTAATTTGTTTCTTGAAAGAATGTTATTTTGATGATGACCCTGAAAATGATATCTAATGTAATACCTGTCGAAAAGACCTTCATGTTTTCTCTTCATTCCAATATTGGTAATTTGGTTCTAAATTCGTAGCATAAATATCAATGCTGTTTTTCTTAAATTAATGTTTCCGTTGTTATTTTCTGCTTCTTAAGCATGACTTCCCAATGCTCTCGTAGGTGAAATGATGACTAGTTCATCATCTAGCAACGCCATTACCATTCCATTCAAGTTCTGCGATGGTTGTGCTCGACAATGTACGGTGAACCTTGTAAAGTGTTTTACTCATAGCAAATCTTTGCTCATTGTTGGCTTGCCTGTGCATACCTCAAATAACCACACCGTTAACAGTGCATATACTATTATATGCTTGTAAAGTGTTTTACTCATAGCAAATCTTTGCTCATTGTTCGCTTGACTATGCATACCTCAAATAGCCACACCGCTAACAGTGTCTATACTATTATATGCTAGTGTATATATATTGTTAACAATGTATATATATTGGTGTATAACGGTATTAATAGTTTACATACAGTGCTTTTCCTTCTTACAGCTTCAATACCAGTGCATATATGTAACTGTATACCACCGTATATACACTAATTAACAATGTATATATTGTGATATACTAATTTATATAAAATTGCATTTGTTGTGTTGTCACTATTGAGTTTATGTGGGCTTTAAATACCTTATGAGTGCTTGTAAAATGAATAATATAATGGAAT